CTCTCCACATCCATGCCAGCATCTGCAGCTTTGAGAATTTGTGATGTGGGCCATTCTCACTGGGGTTAGATGATATCTCAGGGTGGTTTTGATTTGCATTTCTCTGATGATTAGAGACTATAAGCATTTTTTCATATGTTAGCCATTTGTCTGTCTTCTTTAGAGAAGGTTCTTTTCATATCTCTTACCCAGTGACATATGGAATTATTGGGAGGTTTTTTGTTGATTAACTTGAGCTCTCTGTAGATCCTAGTTATCAAGTTTTTGTCTGATTCATAATATGCAAATATCTTTTTCCATTCTGAAGGTTGTCTGTTTGCCCTGATTGTTATTTCCTTAGCTGTACAGAAGCTTTTCAGTTTAATTAAGTCTCATTTGTTTATTTTTGTTGTCTTGCAATTGCCATGGAGGTCTTCTTCATAGAATCACTCCCCAGGCCTTTATCTTCAAGTGCTTTCCCCATACTTTCTTCCAGGCTTTTTATTGTTTCCCATCTTGATTTAAATCTTTTATCCATCTTGAGTCAATTTTTGTAAGTGGTGAAAGGTGCAGGTTCAATTTCGGTCTCTACCTGTGGTTGTCTAGTTCTCCCAATAGCATTTATTGAATTGGGATTCATTTCCCCAGTGTATGTTCTTGTTTGCTTTATCGATGATCAGGTGGCTGTAATAAGTTGGTTTCATCTCATGGTTTTTCATTCTGTGCTAAATGTTGATGTCTCTATTTTTGTGCCAATATCATGCTGTTTTTATTACTATGGCCTAAGGTCTGATAGGGTGATACCCCTGGCTTTGTTTTTATTACTAAGAATTGCCTTAACTGTATGGGGTTTCTTATGGTTCCATACAAAACAAAGATTTATTTTTTACAAATCTTGAAAGTATGATGATGGTGTTTTAATGGGGATTTTATTTATCTGTAGATTACTTTGGGTAGTACAGAAATTTTGATAATGTTGATTCTTCCCAGCCATGAGCACGATATGTTCTTCCATTTGTTAATATCTTCTGCTATTGCTTTTCTTAGGGTTTCACAATTTCTTTTTGTAGAGGTCCTACACTTCTTTTGTTAGGTATATGCCTAGGTATTTCTCTCTTTTTTTTGAAGCTACTGTGAAGGGAATTGTGTCTTCAGTTACTGAAGCCACGAAGGCTACTGATTTGTGACCTGAGACATTGCTGTATTTTTTGATCACTTCCAGGAGTCTTGTGTTTGAGTCTTTGGGGTTCTCTAAGATAATATCATTGGCAAAGAGTGAGAGTTTGACTTCCTCTGCACCCATTTGGATGCCCTTTATTTCCTTCTCTTGCCTGATTGTATTGGCTAGAACATCCAGTACTATGTTGAGTAATAGTGATAGAGGACAACCTTGTCTGTTTCCAGTTTTAAGTGGAAAAGCTTTCAGTTTTATTCAATTAAGTATAATATTAGCTGTGGGTTTGTCATAGATGGCTTTGATCAGATTAAGAAATGTGCCACCGGCTCGGCGCCTATAGCTCAACCGGCTAAGGCGTCAGCCACGTACACCTAAGGTGGCGGGTTCGAATCCCCAGCCCAGACCCACCAAAACAACAATGCCGGCTGCAACCAAAAAAATAGCCGGGCGTTGTGGCGGGCCCCTGTGGTCCCAGCTACTTGGGAGGTGGAGGCAGGAGACTCGCTTGAGCCCAGGAGTTGGAGGTTGCCGTGAGCTGTAATGCCACGGCACTCTACCCAGGGGGACAGCTTGAGGCTCTGTCTCAAAAAATAAAATAAATAAATAAATAAATAATTAAAAAAAAAAAAAAAGAAATGTGCCACCTATGCCTAAATTCTTAAGTATTCTAATTAGAAAAGGATGCTGAATTTAATCGAATGCTTTTTCTGCATCTATTGAGAGGATCATACAGTCTTGGTTTTTGCAAAGACTTTTGATGTTGTGAATCATGTTTAGGGTTGCATATGTTAAACCAGACTTGCATACCTGGGATGAAGCCTACTTGATTGTTATGAATGATTTTTTAAATGTGTAGCTATAATCTATTGACTAGGATTTTATTGAGAATTTTTGCATCTATATTCATTAGTGAGATTGGTCTGAATTTCTCCTTTTTAGTTGGGTCTTTTCCTGGTTTTGGTATCAGGGTGATGTTTGCTTCATAGAATGTGTTGGGGAAGATTCTTTCCATTTCAATTTTTTTGAATAATGTCTGCAGTATGGGTATAAGCTCTTCTTTGAAGGTTTGATAGAATTCTGGCATGAAGCCATCTACACCAGAGTTTTCTTTTGGGGGGGGGGAGATTTTTTATTGTTTCTTCAACCTCAGTTCTTGAAATTGGTCTGTTCAAAATATCTTTTTCTTCTTGACTAAGGAGAGGGTTGTGATTCCAAGTATTGATCCATTTCCTCCATATTGTCAAATTTCTGGGCATAGAGTTTTTTTGTTTTTTTTTAAGGCAGAGTCTCATTTTGTCAACCTCAGTAGAGTGCTGTTGCATCATAGCTCACAGCAGCCTCCAATGCTTGGGATCAAGTAATTCTCTTGCCTCAGCCTCCCAAGTAACTGAGATTATAGGTGTCCACCACAATGCCTGGCTATTTTTAGAGACAAGGTCTTATACTTGCTCAGGCTGGTCTTGAACCTGTGAGCTCAGGTAATCCACCTGCCTCCCAGAGTGCTAGGATTATAGGTGTGAGCCACCGAATCCAGCCTAGAGTTTCTGGTAGTACTCAGAGATGATCTCTTGTATCTCTGTGACATCTGTTGTTATTTCCCCTTTACCATTTCTGATTGAGGTTATTAGAGATTTTACTCTTCTGTTTCTAGTTAATCTGGCCAAAAGTTTATCTATTTTATTTATTTTTTTAAACCCCAACTTTTTGTTTCATTAATTTTATGAATGATTTTTTTTATTTCCAGTTTCATTAATCTCTGATTTAATTTTGGTTATTTAGTTTCTTCTGCTGGGTTTGGGATTAGATTGTTGTTCTTTTTCTAATTCCATAAGATGGTTCATGAGTTTGTTGATACGCTCTCTTTCTGTTTTTCAAACATAGGCATCTAATGCAATAACTTTACCTCTTAAGATTGCTTTTGCTGTATCCCACAGGTTTTGGTAACTTGTGTCTTCATTGTTGTTATGTTTGCGGAATTTAAAAATTTCCTTTTTCGTCTCTTCCTGAACTCAACTATCATGCAGCATAAGGTTGTTTAATTTCCAAATCTTTGTGTGGGGATGAGTGTTTTTGTTGGAGTTGAGTTCCACCTTTACTGCCTTGTGGTCTGAGATGATACAAGGTATAATTTCTATTCTTTTAATTTTGCTGATGTTTGATTTGTTTCCTAGGATGTAGTTGACTTTGGAATAATTAACATGGGCTGACCAGAAAAATGTATATTCCTTAGCTTTGGGATGGTGTGTTCTGAATATGTCTATTAATCCCATTTGTTCAAGGGTCACATTTAAGTCCTTTGTATCTTTGTTGAGTTTCTGTTTAGAGAATCAATTCAGTTCTGTCAGAGGGGTATTCAAGTTCCTAACTATTTTGGTATTATGGGATATCATATTGCTCAGACCTGTCAAGGTCTGTTTCATAAATCTGGGAGCATTTAAGTTGGGTGCACAAATATTTCAAATTGAAATATCTTCTTGTTGTATTTTTCCTTTCACCAGTATAAAGTGTCCATCTTTGTCTTTCTTAACTTTAGTTGCTTTAAATCTGCTTATATCTGAAAGTAAGATTACAATCTGTCCTTTCTTCTGATTTCCATTTGCTTGTAATACTGTTTTTCATTCTTAATCCTGAATCCTGATCTTTGTCCTTCAAGGCTAGGCATGTCTCCTGGATACAGCATATGGGTGGCTTGTGATTTTTTATCCAATCAGCCAGCCTATGCCTCTTCAGTGGGGAATTTAGTCCACTGACATTTATTGAGAGAATTGATAAGTGTGGTGTAGTTCTAGTGATCTTATTTTGTGAAAGTCTATTGTGTAGTTTCATCCTTTGCACCATTGTGGAAGCTGTGTTTTGACCTTTAGCTTTTGGGTGTTTACTTTGCTGGTCATGGTGGTGATCAATATTGAGAATAGGTCTAAGTATTTTCTGTAGAGCTGGTCTTGTTGTGGTGAATTTCCTCAGTGCTTGTATATCCCCAAAAGAACTTCTAGCTCTAAGGTTATTTCTTCTCCATGATCTAACCTATTTTTGATACTTTCTACTGCATCTTTATATTCCTTTATTGCCTTTCATTTCATTAAGGTCCACTATATTGTATTCTTTCTGTATTCTACATATCTTTTGTCCAACTTTTGGTTCTGTCTTTCCATTTTCTTGTCCATTCCTTTTATTGTCTTTATCATCCATATTTTAAATTACCTTTCTGTCAAGTCCATTAATTCTTTATAGGTGGAGTCTTCTGCAGTAGTTGCCTCATGGTCCCTTGGAGGAGTTCCTCTGTTTTGGTTTTTCATGTTGCCTGAATTTTTCTGTTGGTTCCTCCTCATGTGTTCTTTCTTCTTGTTCACCTCCTAGTCTTCCATTTTGCTTCTCACTGCCTCCTTTGTTTCAAATAGAAGTCCTTGCTCTTGTTGACAATGTGTTGCAGTATGTTGCTGAGACACCAGGTGGCACTTTGGTATTTTTTTAGGAGACAGAGTGGACAGCCAACAACTCTATGGTCCTTATTCCAAACTTAGTTGCCTTCAGGGATTACCTGATTGTTTCCTCAGCATTCAGACCATGCCAGGTTGGGATCTTAAAGCTCAGGAGCAAGTCTCACAGTGTCCCCTGACTCCAGTTCTTGTGGGGTATGGGAGTCCCTCAGCTTGTTCCAAGAGTGGAGTTCTAATCCCAGCAGGTGGAATTAAGACAGCTGTGCTTTAGGTCCCTGCTAAGACCTTCTCACAATGGCAACTCCATGGTCTCTGAGACCTTCTCAGCATGGCTGCCTCACCAGCCACCAAACCCATGGCAAATCCACTCCAACCAGAGTTCAAATCTGGTTGCTGTATACTATTTGAGTCCGCCCACTCTTCCAAGCTTTCCACTAAATGCATAGCTTCCCCCAACCCCTGAAAACTTCTGAAAGGGTTCCTCTCATCTGGGGTCTCTGTGAGGGGCCAACTGATCTCAGCTGATCACAGTCACTTGCCTAATTCATCAGATTTCCACCACTCTGGATCATACACTGTATCCAGCTCAGCACCTCCTTGCTGTGCTTCCTGAGCTATGACTCTGGATAATGTTCCCATGGCAGGTATGGCTGCATTCTCTCTTTTTCCCCTGTCATTCTAGGAGAGCTCACCTGAATGATCCTTCTGGTCTGCCATCTTGCTCCACCCCATGGAATATTTTTTCAATATTTTTTACACAAGAACTTCTCTGCTCTCACCTCCAGTGATTTTTGTATATGCTAATGTTTAAATTATAATGATATATGGGACATTAAAGCACATTGATTTTAAGGGACAAGTTTTATAATTTATATAATTTAATAAACATCTAATCTACATAGGCAGTGTGGTATACAAAGGTAAATGAAACATGGCCTGTACCTCCTACAAAGGAGTGAACCCAGGTGAGAGGGAGGGAAGGGGCCAGGGCTGACTCTGGGGCTCTAATTTCAGGGCAAGATAGCAGGTTAGTAGACTATTCCTTAAAAAATCCAATTTTTGCTGTGCTGCTCTTTCCTCTGTGAATATAACATAATATTTCCATAAGAGAAAAAAATCCAAGGCATTAATGAAATGATCAGGAATAGAAACCTATTTTAAGGTTTCTAATTTTTGAATAAAAATTTATTTACAACTGGGCTTTCAAACATGCATTAAAAATATGGTTATTCCTAATGTTAGATAGACAGCATCTTATGAACAGGACATATGTTATCAGATGTCTATAATCCTCAAGATAAATGCCAATTATGGTCCCACTTCTCCCTTAGTTAATTTATTTATTTATTCAAACTTATGAATAAAAAACCATCCCTTGGTTTTTGCTTTTTGTTTTTGTTTTTTACTGAGAGAAGGTTGTGCTCTGCCAGTGAGGCTGGAGCGCAGTGGCATGATCACAGCCCAGTGTACCCTCAAACTCCTGGGTTTAAGTAATCCTCCTGCCTCAATCTTCTGAGTCACTGGGACCACAGGTGCATGTCACCATGCCTCGCTAATTTTTGTTATTTTGGTAGAGATGGTGTCTTCACTGTGTTGCTCAGGTTGGTCTCAAACTCCTGGCCTCAAGTGATCTTCCTGTTTCAGCCTCCCAAAATGCTAGGGTTATAGGCCTGAACCACTGTGTTCAGCTTGCTTGTATTTTTCAAAATGAAAACACCTCTTTTTTGCCATTATCTTTAGTTATTTATTATTTAATCTTACCAATTCTTCTATCAACTAGAAAAAACATTTTCATTTAAATGAAAGAGACTATTTTTTCTTTTAAAAGTAATGTGTACATTTTTTAAAAAGAGGTAGAAAATTCAGAAATCTATAAAGATGAAAAAAATTCTCTTGTGTAATTCCACTATCCAGAAATAATTACTATTATTATTATTTTATTGTATATCCATGTAAGCATTTTTATGCATTAAAATGCGGTCTTTAAAAGCATAAAAATGGAATCTTACCATACGTAACACTTAATGACATCCCTTTTTTCTACTTTACAATGAATTATGGACATCTACAAATGTTTATAAATATAGATTACCTTATTACTTTTGAAGAGCTGCATAAATTCCATTATAGGTATAACTTTCTTTTTTTGTTTTTTAACCAATTCTATCAATGATGAACATTTAAGTTTCTAATTGTTTACTTTTATAAATGAGACTTTGGGGGCATCTTTGCATATATGTCTTTGCACGTATGTCAAATTATTTCCTAGCGTAAATTCATGGGAGTACAATTGCTAGGGTAAAGGGTATTTTAAGGATTTGATACACACTGGTAAATTATTTGTCAGTTAGGTTGTACCTCTTTATATTTCCATCAACAGTTTATGAGAATGCCTGTTTCTTCACAACTTCATCAATACTAGGTATTTTCAAACTTATAAATCTTTATTTGTGTGATAAAGTAGCATAAAATAGTATCTTGCTGTTTCAATTTCCTTTTCTTTTATTACTACTTATTTTCAGTGTTTTGATTTTTTTTTTAGAAGCTCTACTTTTTGTTTTGTGAATTGTCATTTACTCACTTTTCTGTGGGTTGTTCTGTCTTGCTGTTTTACAAGGGCTTTTTGTGTAGGAAGGCTGTTTAACTTCTTCTCCAGGTTTCCAGGTTTGCCATTCATCTTTTAAATTTGTCTGTGATATTTTGAGGTATAGAAGTTTAAACTTACCTTCAGTTCTATGGATCATTTCCTTTTATAGTTTCTGGCTTTTGCACTTTGTTTAAAAAATCCTTAAATCAAAGATGATATAAATATTTACTTAAGCTTCCTGTGTATTCATATTTTCATTAAAGTTATTTTGTGCAAATTAATTTTTGTGACAGGTAACTTTCCCACATTAACCAAGTGATCATTGCATTAATTACTGAATCATCTATCCAGAAGGAGCTTGTTCTTCCTCTTTCTTCTCTCCTTTGCTCCCTCCCTTCCTTCCTCCCAACCTCTCTGTCTTTCTTTCAACAGAAAGCAGCTGTTCTCTTTTCTCTGCTCTTGTGTTTCTGGCGGGAACTAGAGATTGGGTGTCTAACTGAAAGAGAAGGAAATCAAGGAATGTAGCAATTTTGAACAGGTCCAGAAGTGCTGTCCAACATTCTAGAATCTACCTTTTATAGTTCTGGTCTACAACCTTGCCAGTGACACCCAGATAAAAACAGACACTTTTGTAAGTAGACCAAGGTACTATACCTAGTTTCTTGATAGAGGTGAGAATAATCATTCAATTTTCTTAAGATTTGGGGGCATAATCCTGGTTATAATGGATTCATAACTTGGTGCCTGTCAGTGTTTAAAGGGAGAATAGACTCAGTGAAGTTCAAAGATTTATTTTTCCTTGAGTATATAATATTTTAAGTGATCCTATCAGGTTTCAATTTTTAAACTAATTTTCCCCTTTTAGGGCAGAACCATATAATTTTCCTCCTGCTTCCACTAAGTTCATACCCATCCCTTCAAAGTCTACTGTGGGCACTCAGACTGATTATCGGGATGCTGATGTTCAAACAGATCCATACTCTCCAGAATACCTAGTATGTCAGGACTCAATCCCTGAGCTCTTGACACTGGCTACTCTTACTTGGGGTGAGTTGGCAATTCTCTTGAATATTTGCAGATGATAGTACTGGTAACCATGCATGCTGTTGAAAAGATCCACAGTGTATAGTGCTGCTATTTAAAGTGTCTTGCTGAGTACAACAACTTCATAGACTCATAATTTTCTGATACTTTTGTTCAAACAGAGATATCCCCTTTTTATTGTAAGTGCTTTATTGTGCTGTATCCCTGAAGCAGAAGTTACATTTCGGCTCAATCCGTGGTCGTTTTGCTGACTGCTTACTTCTCTCTAGCCTGTTACCCCTGGTGAATTAACTCCTTTTCACTGAGCAGACATACTTCTTTACAGATAAACATTTTTACATGTATAATACTGAATGCACACTCATATATATAAAAAATAATGTTATCTCAGTTTGCCAAAATGTCTTACAATTTATCAAAGCTCCCTTACATTTTTATTGGATGATTTGGATGACTTCTTTTATATTATCTCTGACATGCTAAATATCTTTCTGCCTCAGAAAGTCACTCTTAGAATGTAATAAAATCTGGCATAGGCCTGTATTACATGCAACTATAAAAATCAATAAGAGATGGTACCTCTGGGAATTATTAGAAATTAGCTTATCTAATTCACTTGATTGTAGCTGGAAAAACTGAGTATCAGAGAGGTTAACTACCTCTTAAAAGGCCACAGACATAGTTCGTACACTGTAATGATTTTTATTAAAATGACATTTCCTCCCCCCCCCCTTGTAATGAATGAAAATCTGTGATCAAGTCTGCATCCTAGGCAATGCTGATGTCCATATCTGAGCTCTAGTTTTGATTCTTGTTTCCTGTCTCACATTATGAATCCATATTAAGCATTCTCAACACCCACACTTTAAAGCAGTGGCTCCACTTTCAGGCCTAGATGGCAAATTAAAAATATACTTAAATCTTCCCCGTAGAGCTCTGAATATATATAAAAAAAAAAAAGAAAAAGAAAAAAGAAAAAAATAATAGATTTAGTAGCCACATTTAAAAATCAAGGAAGAAAATATTCATAAGAGAGAAATGGAGACTTTTTCCTAAAAGAAAGAGCTAGAGACATGTGCTGACAGGCTGGGCTTGTGAATGGCAGGGAGCCAGATCTAACTTACCTGCTCACACTGAAGGGACCGGGACCTTTCTCCTTCACATAGGTGGGGCTGAAGCCTGGTGCCTGCTATTTTAAGATTATAGCCAGAGCTGAGTCCCTCCTGTCGGGGGCCTTGGACTTTACCTGTCTAAGATAGTTAGCATTAAACTGCAGAAGGACCAGAGCTTCACTCTGGGCTCAGAAATGCTTCACTAGGCAAAAATCTTTATCTGGTGCCCTGCCCTAGGCAGAAATGAGGTGATGTGTCAATAAAAGCCTCTATGACTCAGGCCTACTCCTACCATCTGTGGGGCCCTGGGGCTCATAGGGAGGCCCACGTGTCACATGGATAGGTATTTCAAAATTATAAATCAGGCCAGGTGTGATGACTCAAGTCTGTAATCCTAACACTCTGGGAGGTCATGGCATGAGGACTGTTCAAGGCCAGAAGTTCAAGACTGACCTGAGCAAGAGCATGACCCCATCTCTACAAAAATAGAAAAATTAGCCAGGCATGGTGGGGGCACCTGTAGTCGCAGGTACTTAGGAGGCTGAGCATACACTTTACCTCAGGTGACAGAGCAAGACTTTGTCTTAAAATAATGATAATAATAATAAATCAAGCTAATATTCCTTAGGTAAAATATGTGCTTTTTAAACATATCTTTATAACAACTTAAAAAGACAAATTTAAATTTCAAATTCTTAGTCTCCTTGGGATTCCATGCTGACATATGGTGGCAAGGCACGAGCCCGCAGGTTGACTACCCTGCTCTCTGCCCACGCTCGCGCTGTTCTGCAGTGTGAGGGGCCTGTCACGCATGTATGTGATTACCCAGCTCTCTTAGCCATCCTCTGTTCATGCATTCCTACAAACAGCTGCCATTTGGCCACACCTTGGGCTGTGGGGTGAACGAACAGCAGCATATAGAATGCCCTCAAGCATCCGAATCTTGAGAAGAGGCCTGCATAGACTTTGGAAGCAGGCTTGGGGCCATTTGTGCAAGGATTTCTGGGTCTCTAAGGGTGAAAGTAGCTCTAGAAGGGCATGGCCCCTTGGATTCGTCTTCTGGTGATGGGCAGGGCACTAAAGAATGAAGCCAGGGGCAAGCCTCTCCTGTCTTGTCAAAGGCTGCTACTGACCAGGGTGCCAATGAGAAACCTGCAGCTGGTCTCAGCCCAAGAACCATAGAGCACCCTAGGGGCAGGGACATCAGGAGTTATTCACAAAATTAAAGGACATGGAAGAATAAATTTCAGGGTAAATGAAGCAAAGGGAGCACTTATTCCCTCTTATCACTTTTTATATACTCGTAAGAGGGAAATAGCAACACTGAAAACAATAATGGGAGCCACGAAAAAGAACCAGTTGTAATCGTTAGGAAGGAAAACCATGAAGCTTGATATAACGTGAATTTAATAGTAGAGTAGATAGAGCTGAAGAGCAAATTAGTGACTTAACAGATTAAATGGAGACATATTCTAGGATGTGACATACAGAGGTAGGACAAGATAAAAGAAAGAGCCACAACGAATAGGAAATTAAGAATAGGGAGAATGTTATGAGAAGCAATTCAAGAGAAGGTAATGGGGCTTGGCACCCATAGCACAGTGGTTATGGCATCGGCCACATACACCGAGGCTGGCGGGTTTGAACCCAGCCCAGCCCAGCTAAACAAAAATGACAACTACAACAATAGAAATAGCCAGGCATTTTGGTGGGTGCCTGTAGTCCCAGCTACTGGGGAGATTGAGGCAAGAGAATTGCTTAAGCCCAAGAGTTTGAGGTTGCTGTGAGCTGTGATGCCACAGTACTCTACTGAGGGCAATGTAGTGAGACTCTGTCTCAAAAAAAAAAAAAAAAAAAGAGAGAGGTAATGGTTGAGAATTTCCCATAACTAAAGAAAGACATGAGCCTCCACAATGACAAATTACATCCAGTACCAAGCAGGAAATCCTTTAAAAATTCATACCTCCTAATAAAAGAAAAAGAAAAAAATGCAAAAAGCTATTAAAGAGAAAAGTCAGATTACCCACAAAGGGGAAAAATTGTAATATTATCTTAAAGATGCTGTGGGAAAATGATTGCAAACTTAGAATTCCTTTACCAAACTATTATTCAAGAGTGAAGCTAAAATAAAGACATTTTCATACATAATAAAAGTGTCTATCACAGAGAATATTGTAAGGATTAGGTAAATTCCTTTATATAATGTGCTTATACCTACATTCCAATAATTTCATTCCTTGCTATAGACCAAAGAAATGTCTGTATTTGTCACAATTCTATTAACAGAAATACACGTGTGTTCACTGAAAGACATGTAGAAGAATACTCATAGAAGCACTGCCCACAATGAATTCAAAGTGAAAACAACCTAAATGCCACTCTTCAACCATAGAGTGGATGGATAAATCAGAATATATTCACACAATGGAATACCACGTAGTAATGAGAATGAAGTACAACTGCATGTAACCACACGAGCCAATCATTCATATCTTAATGCTGAACAAAAGTCAGATATGAAGGGTACCTGAATGTGATTCTATTTACATAAACCTTACAACCAGTGAAGACAAAAGTGATATATTGGGAATGAGATGGTGGCTATCCTGGGGGCAGGTAGTGACTGGGAAGCAAGTAGGATGGGCAGTGTAGGGTGGACCTCTAGTAATAGTCCATTCCCTGATCTGGGTGCTGATTATGTGACATGTTCATTTTTGCACCTTTTTGCATGTATGTTATACATTAATAAAATTTTATATAAGTGAAAAATTAATGATACAGTGAAAACAATGACACTGGTAAGTACTAAGGAAAAAAATGAGTGCATACGATGGGCCAAGAACTGTTCCAAGTGCCTTACATTTTTTTTTTCTTTTTGAGACAGAGTCTCATTCTGTCACCCTGGGTAGAGTGCTGTGGCATCACAGTTCACAGCAACCTCATACTCTTGGGCTCAAGTGATCCTCTTGCCTCAGCCTCCTGAGTAGCTGAGACAACAGGCGTCCACCACAATGCCCAACTATTGTTTTTATTTTTTTTATTTATTTTTTCATTTATTATTATTATTATTATTTTTTTTTTTTGCAGTTTTTGGCAGGGGCTGGGTTTGAACCCGCCACCTCTGGCATATGGGCCAGTGCACTACTCCTTTGAACCTCCAACTCCTGGGTATAGATGATTCTCTTACCTCAGCCTCCCGAGTAGCTGGGACTACCGGTGCCCACCACAACGCCCAGCTATTTTTTTTGTTGCAGTTTGGCTGAGGGCCAGGTTTGAACTCACCACCCTCAGTATATGGGGCCGGCGCCCTACTCACTGAGCCACAGGCGCCGCCCTCCAACTACTGTTTTTAGAGATGAGGTCTTGCTCTAGCTTAGGCTGGTCTTGAACTCCTAAGCTTAGTAATCTACCCACCTCAGCCTCCAAAAGTGCTAGGATTTTAGGTGTGAGCCACTTTGCCTGGCCACTGTAGGTCTTTAAAAAGGCAAAAGAAATGATTATTACTACCATAATGCTTTTGATAAAGATTAATATTATAGCCAAGCCTCTTGTAGGAAGCATTAAGGAAAAGGAGGATGCAAATAAAGAGAATTGGGACTGAAAGGGGGACAGAACTGGAGAGTAAACAATTTAAGAATTATAAGAGAATACTAGGAATATCTTTTGTCATGTATTTTAAAATGTAAGTACATGATATAGTTTTTTACAAAAAATACAGATTACTAAGTTGGTTTCAAGAGTAAGTAGCAAACCGAGTGGAAGAACAACTATAGATATTGAGTTGGTTAAAAGAAAAAAAATCTTTTTAAGAGCACTAAGCCTAAACAGTTTTATAGGTACATTTACCACTCCCTCAAGGAACAGATAAACTCTAATTTATGAAAATTCCTTCAGCAAAGGCAAAAGAATAAAAGCTAATTTCTTCATTTTATGAGGCTACTATAGTTTTGATTTGAAAACTGAATAAAGGCAGTATAGTCATCTCTAGGTAACCATGGGGAATTGGTTCCAGGACCCACCCCCAACCAGGTACCACAATCCATGGGTGATTAAGTCCTTTATATAAAATGGTATAGTATTTGCATATAAGCTATGTACATCCTCCTGTATACTTAAAGTCATCTCTAGGTTTTTTACAATACCTAATACAATATAAATGCTATGTAATTAGTTGTTACACTGTACTGTTTAGGGAATACTAACAAAATACTAACAATACTATCTTTTTGTACTAACAAAAAGATAAGTCTGTACATGTTAAATACAGATGCAATTAAAAAAATATTTAAGTACAGATGGTTGGTTGGTGGTTTTCAGTCTGTGGGAAACAACGTACTCCACAGATGGAGACCTCTCTGTACAGAGGTCCAGCTGTACTGGTAAGGAAAATTATAGGCCAGTCTCATGTATGAAGAAATCTGCAAAAAATTCTAAACAAGATACCAGCAAGCAAATCTTGCTATATTTTAAAAGGGTGACTTATCATAACCAAGTGGGTTAATCAGAGAAATTCATGTTTGTTTCAATATCAGAAAATTAACCATTGTAATTTACCATTTTAAAAGAAAATGAAGGAAGAATGCTTCCCTGGGTGCAGAAAAAGTATTTGATAGCATCCAATGCTCATTCATGATATGAACTCTAAATAAACTGAGAGCAGAAAGAAGCTTTAGAAACGTAATGTAGTATCTACAGCTTTTAATAAACTTAATACTAAAAGTGAAACCTTAGAAGCTTTGCCCTAAAAGAAATAGACGCCACTCTCATTAAGATTCCTAATTAGCTACATGGACAAGACCCTATCCCAGAATTTATCAAGCAGGGCTATAATCCTTTCTCCCCAGAGACATTTGAAAGTATGGGTGGCATTTTTACATGTAATAATGATAATGCTTATTTAGTAAATGAAATAAATTATCAGAACTACAAAGCATATTTAACAAAGTAGCTGTGTTTGAAATCAACATACAAAGATTAGCAACTTTCCTCTATAAGAACAATAGCCAGTTAGAAAAATTACTGAAAAACATGATGTTCGCAGTAGCAACAAATAACAAAGTACCTAGGAAATCACTTTATAAAAACATGTGCAAGGCTTTCATGGTGAAAATTATAAATTGCTTTTTAAGCACATAAAGATTTGATTAAAAATAGAGACACATCATGTTTATTAATGACAAAACTCATCCTTGAATAGACATAATTTCTCCTCCACATAATTTAGACCTTCAAGAAATTCTAATCCACATCCTTACTCCCAGTATAACTGTGCCTGGGTAGATTAGCAACTTGCCTCTTCTTTTCCCAGAAATTATACAAAAGCAACAAGAACAACAAAACTCCCACAAACTCTATTTTCAGTGAAACAAAAAAAAATTATATGTAATCCATGAACTACTAAATATTTGTAAGGGCTGCAGAAAACAGCCGAGATTAGGCATATGCAAGGTGGGAGGAAGTGAGAAAGCATGGACCGTGGGAGGGGAACCATCAGGGCATCTCAGAAGAAAGGAGCAAAAATATACGTCAGAGGGTAAATTTAGCAATATTCAGAATTAAAAAGGATCATATTTTATGATCTAGCTGCTAGACTCTATTTCCACTTTTAAGAATCCTAGAGAAACTCACATGTGGGGACAGGGAGACCAGTACAAGAATGCTTGTTGCAGCATTACATGTAATCAAAAGATTAGAAGCAATCTAAACGTCCATTTGAGAAGACAGCTTAAATCGTCTACGTATGGCTAGGTCCCCCAAACAAAGTTGAGTAAAAAAAGTAAGTTACTGAATGGTACCTACAGTTTAATGTCATGTATATAAGTATTAAATAAAAAACAATACTAGATGGTGCCTATGGCTCAAAGGAGTAAGGTGCCAGCTCCATACGCTGAAGGTGGCAGGTTCAAACCCAGCCCTGGCCAAAAACTGCCAAAAAAAAAAAAAAAAAAAACCAAACAAAACCCAAAACAATACTATATTTTGTTTAGCTATATTTCATTTTTGGTTCATATTTATTTTTATTAGAGAGGGAATATACTGTAACATGTAAGAACTCAAGGCTCAGATTGCCATTTCAGATACTGATTTCCAGCTATACCCTTGTACAGGTTACTTAACTTCGAAGGTCTTCAATTTCTTCAGTTTTAAAGTAGGGATACTTGGGTCAGGTGCAGTAGCTTATGCTGTAATCCTAGCACTCCGGGAGGCTGAGGTGGGTGGACTGCCTGAAATTAGGAGTTCAAGACCAGCCTGAGCTAGAGCGAGACCCTGTCTTTAAAAATAGCCAGGAGATGTGGTGGGTACCTATAGTCCCAGCTACTTGGGAGGCTGAGGCAAGGGGAGCGCTTGAGCCCAAGAGTTTGAGGTTGCTATGAGGCCATAGCACTCTGCCAATGGCAACAAAGTGAGACTCTGTCTCAAAAAAAGAAGGAAAAAAAAAAAGGAAAAGTAGGGATACTTGTTTTTATTAATTAAATGTTCTAATTAAATGAATTACAAACAGTGTTTGACATATTTTAAATGCTTAAGTAATGTTACTTTTTATTAGTTTTATAATTCATAGATACATAAGTGTGTATATAAAATACTAAGATTCACTAGAGAGCCCAAGTTTGCTTTCTTATTTTGGAAGAAAGGAGAAGAGAATGGGGTTCAATGCAGTGGTTAAAAGAACATCAACTTCATTTATAATTTTTTAATGTCTTTTATTAGAAAAGGTAAAGTGTATATAATGAAATATGTATAATTGTTAAATCTGAGTATTTACATTTATTTTGTAATTACTAAAGAAGACACCATACAAAAGACACAAAATAACATATAGACAAATGCACACACATACACTATATATATATACATATTTATTTATTTATTTATTTATTGTAGTTTCTGGCCGGGGCTGGGTTTGAAACCACCCCCTCTGGCACATGTGGCCAGCGCCCTACTCCTTTGAGCCACAGGCACCACCCACATATACTATTTTGTATATAAGTTTACTCATTGCTTTATACACATTATATAAAAGTTAAAAGAGTGAATTAGTTAGTAGTATGCTTGCTAAATGCATCCTTGTAACTGCCTCTGGGAAGATGATGAGAATGAGTAGAGTACAGGAGAACTTTAGAACATTAGAATTCATGTTGTAATTTAAAAAACAAGAGATAGTAAACTCATACATTCCTTATTTGCTTTTCAAAAGCATAAATATTACAAAGGATCTGAAATGAATAAAGCAAAAATTTTAGAGGTAGCCTATTGGATTGGTAGAAATATGACTTGTTATTTATTTCTTTGTACTTGTCTGTATAATTATATTTTAAAATGAAAACAAAAGTTGGTTTATTGGGGTCCAATAAGAAACCTGTTCTAGACCTCTTATTTCTTTTACCGAGTTTTGGTCCCAGAAAGGTGATGTGGTAAGGAAGGCTACATTTAGAGATGGTAGGCACTGAGGATGGCTGGGTCCCCCAAACTTGGCCCAGGGAGCCATAAGTAGGATTAAGTCTTGGTCAGTGCTGTACCCAGTGGCCCACCTACCTCCCTGACCTGGGGGGTCTTTGTGTCTGTGAACTCATCTTTTGGGTTGAAGGACAGCCCTAAGTTGCACGTTCATTATGGGGGACAAAATGCAAACATGATGAATTCTCAGTTAAAGAATAGTTTCTTCATGACCTGTTATAAGAAAAAAAAAAAGTATCTGTTTTTTACTTTTGTCCAACAAATTCCCTACCCGTCATCATATTTTCCTACCTTGGGACTTAGATATTTACTTACCTTTCAAAATGTAGATTTGTTCATTCCAAGGCATTCCAAGGTGTGATTATTCAGTAGTCACTTGCTATTCTTTCTAGAATCTTACATCTAAGATGAACAAAAATGTCAATGGCTCAATCACTACCGAGTGGCAGTGCAGGGCACAGATTATACAGCTGTGAGGCACATCTAGAGGATATTTCCTATTATTATCTTACCCTATCATAACCCTTAAATTTAGTGAAGAGAATAAGAGCTGAAAGGGAGTAAGTTACACACTGGCAGGTACATGGGTTTGTTCATTTGTTTCTAAGTTGTGCTGCTTTACCCTCCAGGTCGAGGTCTCCCAGCCGGACAGGCTGAGGTGGAGATGATAGAACGCGCCCGTGAGAAGCGTGCTTGGGAAGCCACTCTCCCCCCGCTGAGTGACATCTCCCAGTTTGAGAAGAGGAGGAAGATGATGAATGCCATGGAGAGGAAGGAGTGGGCCTTCAGAGAGCAGGAGATTGAAAAGTGGGTAATCTATCATTCAGACAGTTTGTGTTGGTGGTAGGAATGAATGTTAATACTTTTAATCTGCAAAGCACTTTTCCAAATGTTAGGGTTTAAAAGCAGCTCTCTTAAACCCTAAACGCACACCTGGAGTCCCAGCTACTTAGGAGGCTACAGGTGGAGGACTGCTTGAGCCCAGGAGTTCATGATGAACCTTGGCAACATAGCAAGACCCTGTGTCAAAAAAACCTCAGGAACCTCAACCTATAGAGATAGGAAACTGGGTTTCTGGTTCTCTCAGGCGCAACCACACCACCCTTTGATGGAGTATGGTTTTCTCTCCGATAATGTAAGGCTATATCCTGCTCTCTTTGTGTGTGATGAAGTTACGCATAAAACCCAGATTTGAGCAATGTTTCAAGGATATCCCTGATTCTTCTTTTCCTTTTTCATATCTATCTAGACTGCCACAAAATCCCACTGGTTTCTACAAAACATCTTTCAATCTGTCCCTTTGGGTTCCTTCCCAGTGCCACTGTTGCTAGGCCTGGGCTTTTTTCACATCCCACCGAACAGCTCTGAGCTGGTCCTCACTCTTACTCTCCCAACACTGGATTCACAGGCAGGACCTCTTGGGTTCTGGCCGGAGCTGATGGGGCATTTGCTATTTAAAAGACAGATTGTGGTATTCTTCCATCAGGAGGTGAGCTTATGTAACAATATGCATAAAGAAAAATATGCTGAGGTCCTTCTGGCTGAGTTCTTAATCACTTTAACTGATATATTTTCAGTAACGAGGTTGCTGCTGACATGTAGAAATGGTAAGAAATGATGATGAGAAGCAAAAAATTGTGACCCTCTAGGAAGAAGGAGAGGAAAGAGCACTTAGTGAGGTTGCCATTTGTTCTGTGCTGAGGTGCTTTATCGCTCATAGCAGTGCTACCAAGGCTCCTGGCATACAAGAGAGTGACCGAGAGCGTTAGGGACTCAGCTGTGTGCTGAATTCAGAATACGTTGTTGTTGTTACTATTATTATTTTTTGAGACAATCTCACTTGGTCACCCTTGGTAGAGTGCCGTGGTCACAGCAACATCAAACTCTTGGGCTCAAGTGATTCTCTTGCCTCAGCCTCCCACCACAATGCCTGGATATTTTTTAGAGACAGGGTCTCACTCTTGCTTGGGCTGGTCTCGAACTCATGAACTCAGGTAATCCACCTGCCTCAGCCTCCCAAGTACTGGGATTACAGGTATGAGCCACTGTGCCTGGCTGTTGTTATTATTATTATTATTAGTTTGTGGTACCTTTATATTAAGCCTAAATCCAAACTATGGGATGTTTTGGCAGAAGCTTCCTATAGAAAATAGCATTTGGGGGCAAAGCAGGTATCAGATACCCAATTTTGTCTGCAGAAATTTAAATTTATTGCTGTACTTTGGAGAAGTATATGTCTTGTCACAAGGCATTAAAAATATTTAAAAAGTACCCAGCTAGAGTGAAGGCATCACCTGAGGAAGTGAATACATTTGTTAAACTGAGAGCAGTTTTCATAAATGCATTTTACGTCCCTTCTATGTGCCAAGCTCTGTGCTGTGAGTTGGGGAGACAGAGATGCACAGGACACTGCTGTGCCCTGGCAGAGATCCTTGTGGCCTAGTCAGGTGGGCAGCTGGGGCAAAGGATTTCAGACTAACACTTCTCAGGCAGTGTCTAGGAGGTGACATGTTGCTTTATACACAAAGTGCAAGGGAAACCCAGGTGGGAGAACAATTCTGTCTTGAGATGGGTGATTTGGAAGAACTACAGAGGGGAGGGAGCCCCTGAACTGGGTATGGAAGGATGAGTTTGAAAACCATCAAGTAGACAATAATGTCAGTGACGATGCTGAGGCTCCAGGACGTGGAACACATAGCATGCTTACGGGGTGACAGATAATATTCTAAGTCAGTAGCTCCACAGACCAGCAGCAGCGTTACCTGGGAACTTGTTGGAAATGCAGATTCTCAGAACCCACCCCAGGTATAATGAATCAGGGGCTGTGGCCTAGCAGTCTGTATCCGAACCAGCCTTCCACAGTATTCTGATCATGCTTACGTTTGAGGACTACTGTTCTAGCACTGTGTACATTAATTCATTTAACATGACAATAATCTTATGAGGAGGATGCTTTCTTTATCTCCACTTCACAACTGGAGAAATTGAGGTCAGAGGTGAAATTTACAACGGAACCCGTTTTTTCCAACTTGGGAGAGAAAGGTAACTGTGGCTATGTGGCTTAGTTTTAAGAATCTCTTCCTCTCCACGCACATTGGTCAGTATTCCCTGGCCTGTCATAGGTACTCGCCCTGAGAAGCCCTGCCAGTGTGACATGTTGGCTTTGTCTGCTGGCTTTTTGAGCTGCACATTCAGCTCCCTCTGCTTAGGCCTTGCTTCCCCCTTGTCAGTGTGGCAAGGCCCTGCCCTGGTTTATCCTCAAGACTCTGCTGAGTTAACAGCTCCTCTAAGGAAGCCTCCCCCACCTTCTTCTTCCTTTCCCCTTGCGCCCACAGACGTCTTGTCACTCCTCTCCTGGCATCTGTCTCCTCGTGTGGAAATGTTGGTTTGTATGCCTGTTCTGCTAGAAAAGTGCTTCTTGAAAAAAGGTGTTTTATCTTGCACGTCATGGTTTCTGCCTTGGCATATGGTGGTCACTTAGTAAATATTTGACAAATGAGTGAGTGTTAAATTAATGTATGAACTTTTAAGTGGGAGTAAAAGGCATGTTCAAATCTCCACTTCAGGAAGGAAAAGCTTGGCAGCTGTGAGGAGCAAAGATGAGAGGGAGGAGAGACTGGCAGCAAAGATCCAAGTTAGGAGCAAGATGACAAAAACTTGAGCCGGGGGTGTGTGAGAAGTGTTTCCGAGGAGCCATCGTTAGCAGAGGGAAGGTGTGAGAGAGAGGTAGAGTTCCGGGGGATCAAGATGAGTGGGGGTTTTTGAGATCATCAGAGGACAGCTGGAGATTCAAGTAGACAGAAATTTTGGTTCAGAAATGTCAGGGCTGGAGGTGCAGATTGTGAAGTCACCTGTGCATGGCTGGACCTGCGTGAGCAAGGTAGTGGAGGAGATGAAGGCAAGGGAAAAGGAAGCAAAGATTTACTGAGTGTTGTGCGTCAGGCACTGGCATTTTCACATTTGCTCCTTAAGAGAGCAAGCCAGACGCTGGGCACGGTGGCTCATGCCTGTAATGCCAGCACTCTGGGAGGTTGAGGTGGGAGGATCCCTTGAGCGCAGGACTTCAAGACCAGCCTGAGCAAGAGCAAGAGCAAGACCCTGTCTCTACTAAAAACAGAAAAATTAGTTGGGTGCTGTGGTTGGTGCCTGTAGTCCCAGCTACTCAGGAGGCTGAGGCAGGAGCGCTTGAACCCAGGAGTTTAAAGTTGCTGTGAGCTAAGCTGACACCATGGCACTCTAGCCTGGGCAACAGAGTGAGACCCTGTCTCATAAAAAGAAAAAAAAGGATATACCAGAACCTCATTTTCTCTTCAATTCCCTGGCTTGGCTCCAGGAATACCACTTGGAAGTGCTTACAAAGCTCTCGTTCCTGGGGGTCCGTCTGCCTGGCACACTCCCCCTCATCCTTCAGAACGCCACCCGTCTCTGTTTATTCCCAGTCTGCGCTGAGTGCCTCCCCCACCCCGTCCCCCCGCCTCAACTCCTTTATCACACTTTCCCGGGAGTGGTCTTTTGACAATACGCGATGGCAGCTGGCAGCTCGCGGAGAAGGCCCTGTGTGCGGCCGCTGCCCCTTTGCCCTCCGAGATACCATACGCTTCTTTAGGTTCTGTAATTTTCTTGAAGACTGCAGGAGATTCGCCTGCAAGTTCTGACAGAGCTGCTGAGGAAGCGTGAAGAGAATCAGAATGCAGTGAACACGAAGCGCTTGAACGCCCAGTGGACTAAGCTGCAGGAAGCCAAAGAAGCCAAACTGGCGCAGATCCAGCGCGCATACGTGTCAGGTGAGGGCGGCGCGGGGCGGGAGCAGGAAAGGGGAGTGGCCCCGCGTGGCTCTCCAAACGCGAGGGAACTGGGAGGACCTCTGTTTCGGTCCTGGTGTCCCTAATAGGTGAGGGATGAGAGATGACTCATCTCTCCTAGATAGAAGAGTGGAGGAAAATCCCTTACTAAGAACAGCAAGTGACAAAGTTGTAACAGGTAGTCAAGTTATTGATCTTATGGGGGGGAGGAGTGCGTGCGAGAGAGTGGGGGTGTGCGTGGGGGGCTCCCTATATTCTAGGGCCAATCACAGGCCAAAGAGCCTTGTTAATCTTTTTTCATTGTTTCTCTCTGAAGGAGATATTTTAGACAAGCTTCTTCCTGATAACTCCAAGCAGTTTTAATGCCACAGATATATTGTGTGTGTGTATATAGATATATGTACTTAATACCCCCAAATAGGAAGCATATGGTTTACTCTTTTTGTTCAGTACCAAGTTAAAAATGACTAAATTAAAAATTTCAGTTAAAATTTATACTGAAAAAATTTTAATTATTAACATTCTGCTGAATTTTATAGCTTTATGTGCCAAGAAACTGAATGTAATTTATTTATAAAATTTCATCAGTTCCATATGTAAATTAACTATTATACACATACTTACTAGCAATGTAATCACGTTTAAAAAAACATTCAAAACTTTTAATTCTCCAACAATTATTATATTGTTACTTAAAAGTTATTTTTAGTGAAATTAACTTTTAACTTGTTCTCGGTGTGAGAAAATAGCTTTTGACTTAACTAGCTACTAAGCACTCATCATTAAATATAGCCACCACGTTTCCTTTCCAGTACTTGACACAACTAATGATGGGTTTGACTAACTTTTATAGATTAATAATAAAATATAAGCAATTTCTTCTTAATTCTAAAATGCCAAGTCACATATGAAAGCACTGAGGGTTAAATATGAGTGATAGACAGGGGGCAGCGGCGGGCAAGGCCCCTATTGCCATATGACTTGACACTCGCACTGAGAGTACGTGATGGAGAGACGTCAGCATGGGTGAGGTCTGTGATGGGATTTGGAAGGAAAGCAGCAGGTGGCAGTAGTGAACATGATTCTTTAAATGAGTTATACTCGGAATGTGCACAGTGGAGCCTTTTCCCGCCGACTGACAAACAATTCGGAAAGCTCTTAAACTGGGACATCTTCTGGTTTATTCTGGTGTTAGCCAAGATAAACCTGTAGTCTTCTCTCTTTATTATTCTTATAGGGGAGGACAATTCCCCTAGTTCTCCAGTGAACATGTATTTTCCAGTTACTCTGAGTTTCATTCACTTAACAAAGTTTTATTGAATACCTCTTTGGATCCAGAGCTTGGAATGCAGTTATAAAAGATTTTTGATAAGGACCAGTTGAGGACACCAGCTAATTTAGCTTCTGTCACTGCTCCTTGTCTCATGGCAATCTGGGCCACACAGATGGCAGACCTCTGTTTTTAGTGTTGCATTCTGGATGTGGTGAGTCATTGTGAAATTCATTCACTTTAGCAGCTTCCCTATGAATCACACTAGAATTGGTTTACTATTCTGCCTTTGGATAATTCTGAGGTATATTTTGGAAATAGTCATGGAGTTATGTTTTATTTCAGAGATCAGAAAACTTGTAGGAAGGGGAAAGAATGTAGAAGGGAAATTGGAGAGAAGAAATATCATCAATGACTATTGTGATTACGCATCACAGGTCTACGGACCTTTGTCTCGTCTTGGTCGTTTCCCAGACAACAACTCAGAGGACTTTGTAGTAAAAAACCACTATCTCAACACCTATGAAGGTAAGCAATTCACACGATAAGTTCAGTAGGAGAGGGTTATCTTAGAAATGGAAATTGAACATACAAAATATAGAATTCTAGACTAAAAGCTAAACAAAAATATTTGCAATAGACACCGGTGAATAAATTTAGTATTATTATTAAGAAGAATTCATATAAACCAATAAAAACTACTAAGACACAAATAAATGGACACACTATAGAACAATTTAGGGAGGAATAAACTTAACTACTACGCATTAAACATGTTTAATGTCATTAATAATCAAAGTTACACAAAAATAAAATAGCAAAAACTTTTATACCAGGTTTATGAAGAAAACAAGAAATGTATATTGAAGTCAACCCTTTACCAAGAACTGTCAAAAAACTAGTGGGCAGAGAATGGAGATCCAGAGGACCAATTCATGGACTAGGCTGCAGCTTTTATGAAGTCCAAGAGAGACTTACTTAAATTATTTAATTCTGGTTGGCAAGTTAAAGAAGCACCATGTGGTCAACATGATGAGCTGATGGTTACACTATTGAATTTGTAGCTCTGACCAGCTATCAGAGCAGAATATGATAAACTGGTGGACAGCTACTCAAGAATAGTGGTACCATGTATTGTAGAATCATTAGTTTTCTGTTGAATCTTATTTTTGAATTACTACTTTTTTGTAGGGCAGTATTTTCATTTTAGAATGCATTTCTCATTTTATGGGCTAAGTCATTGAGAATATGAGTTAAGTAGACAGAAATATGCTATCCATTTGAAGGACAGTTCATTCTAATATGGGATACACGCTATCAGTAATTTTAATGAAATCACTTGACAATTAGCTACTAAAATTAACAGTCTCCTTTAGATATGATAAATTTAAGCACTGGATACTAAAAGCATATACTTTCTTCCCATAGGATTAGTCGAACTTGAGTCATGTCTCCCAGATTTTGTGACACAGCCCCGAATCAGACCTCCAAAACTCTCTTCTACCAGACCTGCTGGTTTTCTGAAGAGGACATCAAAGTTGGACCATGAGTTAGCAGAGGTTCATAAGGTATACCTGTTATCTGGAAGACAAGATGCTTCTAGTGTGATTTTTACAGAGAAATACTACACTCCAAAGATTACTTTTTGTCTTGGGCAACAGTGTCCAGTGGGTCTAATATACACCTTGCCTTCTTTCTCCTCTCTTCTCTTTTCTCTCCTAGAGGCTGTCCATGCTATGCTAAACCAATGTATTTTGTTCCCTTGTTTCAAATTGTTGGAAACCTCTTGGAGTTTGTTTTCTTCATTAGCAGAAGTCACATTACTTTCTGAAAGTGTTTCCGACTTTGGCTTAGTATAATAAAATTCGACACTATAGTGGGTATAGCAGGTTTGTAGTATTAGGAATACTGTTGATGTTACTCATTGCAGTAGGTCTCCTTTTCTCCCTTTTATATTTGTTAGCAGGGCATCATAAAGAAAAGAGTCATGTTCAACTTCTTTCTTACCTAGTTTAAAACCTAACTAGAGGAGGGACTTGGATGGCCATCCCATGAAGCAGCCACACAGCATCCACCTGCTGGGCTTCTCCTTTTGCTAATTGGGCTACGGGTTTATAGACTCGGCTACTTTAGACTCTGTGGTTTATGATAGCAGTTCTCAGTCTTCCCTGTGCATCAGAATCATGTGGAGGGCTTTTTGAGACACTAGCACTAGTGCTCACCCCCAGAGTTTCTGATTCAATAGGTCTGGGTGGGGGTGTAGTGTTTGCATTTCTTACAAGTTTCCAGGTGGTGCTGATGGTGCTGGTCCAGGAACCACGCTTTGGGCCCCATTAGTATATGACATACTCTCACTGCTGGTCCAGGCATATCTGTTCAGTTGATTTTAGTAATATAGTAAGAATCAAAGGCAACCTGTATTCAACTTAAAAATTAGGACCTTGACAGTAATTTCCATATATCTATGTGGTTCTTTCCCACATCACCCCCCACCCCAACTCCTGACCCATCCCGAATGCTGTGTTTATCATTCTCTTGCTCTCTGTAAGATTTTTTTGCATGTTCTTTTTATGAAGTTATGGACATTCCCTTCTTTTCCTAATTTACTAAATCTTTTAATCATGTGTTTGTATTGAATTTTAACAAATGTTTAATATTCATCTTGTGGGATAATTATATACACTTTTTAAAAAAATGATCGTAGTAACATTTATAGTTTTAAAATAAACAATAATCTATCCTTGCACACCTAAGATGAACCTGGCTTTGTCCAAATGTGCTATGTGTTACCTTATTTTTAATACATTATTTGGTTTGATTTATTAATATGATTAGGATTTTGCTTCTTATGCATGAGCAAAATGGTCTTTTTTATTTTTCCTAATCCTATTGATTAGGATTTTGCTTCTTATGCATGAGCAAAATGGTCTTTTTATTTTTCTTTCTATTTTGATCATGTGTGGAGTAGGTATTCGAATTATGCAGGCCTCCTTATGTGTACTGGGAAGTGGTCTCTTTTTTTCTTTTTTGAGAAGAGTTTAAATAAGATTGAGATAATCTGCTCCTTCAGTTTGGTAGAATATACAGTACATATGAAATTATCTGGGTGGTGCCTGTGGCTCAAGGAGTAGGGCACCAGCCCCATATACCACAGGTGGTAGGTTTGAGCCCAGCTTCAGCCAAAACTGCAAAAAAAAAAAAAAAAAAAAATTATCTGGCACTGACTTTTTCTTCATGAGAAAAATTTTAACCACTACAATTTCTTTACAATTTGTATAACTTTTCTGCATTATTTTTGATAAATTACTTGTTTTTGAGAAATTCCGTTTCACCTAACTTTTAAAATTTGGGGGGGATATGATTGTTAATAGTCTTGTTTTATAATCTTTTTAATGTTTGTTTTATCTTATCCATGTCGACTTTTTTCACTCATAACATTATTCACGTATGCCTTAACTTTTCCCCTTCATCACTTTTAATGGAGGCTTACATCTTTTCTTAGTATTATTTTTCCAAACAAGGAACTTTTGATTTTGTTAATTTTCTCTTTTACATGTGTTTTTTTCAGTCTCATCAATTTCTGCTCTTATATTTATTCTATCTTTTTACTTTCCCTGGATTTATTTTATTATTATTTGTCACCCTCGGCAGAGTGCTGTGATGTCACAGCTCACAGCAACCTCCAGCTCTTGGGCTTAGGCAATTCTCTTGCCTCAGCCTCCTGAGTAGCAGTGACTATGGGCACCCGCCACAATGCCCGGCTATTTTTTTGTTGCATTTTGGCTTGGGTCAGGTTTGAACCTGCCACCCTCCGTATATGGGGCCAAAGCCTTACTCATTGAGCCACAGGCACGGCCCTCTGGATTTATTTTATAGTTCTTTTCCTCACTTAAACTGAACATGTAGCTCATCAATTTCAGGTACTCATCAGTGTCATATAACATTTCCTTCTAAACACTGGCTTTTGCTGCATTCCATTAGTTTCAGTATGTAGTAGTTGTCATTGTTTTTCATTTCATGTATCTGAAAATATCCATTATGATTTTTGAACCTATGAGTATTTTACAGCATGTTTTTAAATATCCAAATATACAGGATTTTAACTCATTTTCTAATTAACTTCTATCTCAATTACAGTATAATCAGAGATTGTAGTCTGTGTGAAACCTATTCTTTGGAATTCAGTGAGGCATGCTTGTGGATATGATCACATAAATAACATAGTCAAAGTCCACCTTCAAATCACACTCTACTATTTCATATGCACAGCAGATGCCTTACAGCAGACTATTGCCAATGCCTCCCTCCCCTCTCTGTATTGGTGTCATTCACTTCACTAATCCCTATGATATATCAGCCAATACATTTTACTCTAATTGTTTTAGCAGGGTTATTTTTAGATCAACTAAGAAAAACGAAGATTATTTTACCTTCATTTATTCCTTCTCTGCCACTCTTCCTTTCCTTATATAGAGCTATGCTTCTAATTTGTATCATTTTTCTCCTGCCGAGAGAATTTGTTTTTATCATGTCTTCCAAGGAAGGTCTGCTGGCAATGAACTTCAGTTTTTGTCTCCTTTTACTTTGGGGGGATATAATTCACATACAAAATCCACCCTTTTAAAGTATACAATTCAGTGATTTTTAGCATAGTCACAAAGTTGTGCAACCATCAGCACAATCTACTCCCAGAACATTCTCATCATCCCCCAAACAAACCCCATGTCCAGTAGCTGTCACTTCCAATTTCTTCTTCTCCTCAGCCCCTGGCAACCACTATTCTACTTTCTTTTTGTGGATTTGCCGATTTTGGACATTTCGTATAAAGGAATCATGCAATATATGGCCTTTCGTGTCTGGTTTCTTTCACTTAGCATAGCGTTTTTAAGGTTCATCCAAATTCTAGCATATTTTAGTACTTCTCCCTTTTATGACTGCATAATATTCTATTGTATGATGTATTACATTTTATTTATCCATTTATTTGTTGATGGACATTTGAGTTGTTTCTACTATTGACAATTATAAATAATGCCCTGTGGACATTTGTGTAGAATTGCTGGGTCCTGCAGTGTCTTAGTCTGTTTGTGTTGCTATAAAGGAATGCCTGGGACTAGGTAGTTTATAAGGAAAAGAGGTTAATGGAGCTGGAACATATACTTCTTAGCAAAGTATCTCAAGAATGGAAGAAAAAATGCCCAATGTACTCAGCCTTACTATGAAACCAATTTATACCTTTCTTGTGAAAGCTATAACCCAATTATAGCCCAAGAAGAAGAGGAAAGGGGAGAGAGAGGGGAGGGGTGGGGGAGGATGGGTGGAGAGAGAGTAATTGGTGGGACCACACCTACGATGCAGCTTACAAGGGTACGTGTGAAATTTACTAGGTGTAGAATATAAATGTCTTAACACAATAACTAAGAAGATGCTGTGAAGGCTATGTTAACCAGTTTGATGAAAATATTTCAAATGATGTATAAAATCAGCACATTGTACCCCATGATTGCATTAATGTACAGAGCTATGATTTAATTAAAAAAAAAGAAAGAAAGAAAGAAAGAAAGGAGGTTAATTTGGCTCATGGTTCTGCAGGCTGTGTAAGAAGTGTGACGCCAGCATTTGCATCTGGTGAGGGCCTCAGATTGCTTCCACTGATGGCGGAAGGGGCAGGAGAGCAGGCATGTGCAGATGTACTGTGGGGAAAGAGAAAAAGCAAGGGAGAGAGAAGGAAGGAGCTGTCACAGGAACTAAGTGAGAACTCACTCATTACTGGGAGGACAGCACCAAGCCATTCATAAAGGGTTCACTCTCATGACCTTCTGTTAGGCCTCACATTCAACATTGGAGCTCAGATTTCAACATGAGGTTTGGAGGGTCAATTATTCAAAGTATAGCATATAGTAACTCCATGTTTCACTTTTTGTGGAGTTGCCAGACTCTTCCCAAAGAAGCTGGACTATTTTGCATTCTCCTTAGTAATGTACGAAGGCTCCAAAGTCTTTGTGTCCTTGTCATCACTTGGTATTTTCCATCTTTTTTATTACGGCATCCTACTGTGTGGGAAGTGGTATCTCATTGTGGTTTTGGTTTGCATTACCTTAATGATCAAATATGTTGAGGATCTCTTCATGCACCTGCTGGTCATTTGTATATCTTTTTTGGAGAAATGTCTGTTCAGATTCTTTGCCCATTTTAAAAATTGTGTTTGTCTTATTGTTGAGTTGTAATAGTTCTTTATATATTCTGGAGGTTAGACTCTTATAAAATACATGATTTACAAATTTTTCTCTCATTCTCTGGGTTGTCTTTTTACTTACTTGATTGTATCCTTTGAAACACAAAAGTTTTCAATTTTGATCTTTTCACTTTTGAAGAATAGGTTTTGTTAGGTTAGTGTTTTTTTCTCTTAACACTTGAAAGATTTTACTCCACTCTCTTCTTGCTTACATGGGTTCAGACTAGAAATCCACTGTAATTCTTATCTTTATTCCTCTGTAGGAAAAGTGATTCTTTTTCCTCAGGCTTCTTTTGAGATTTTCTTTCTGGTTTTGAGTTTTTTTAATTTAAA